AGGGAATTAAACCTCTGGTAAAGTAGGTTATTGCCTACAAAAGCTTATGCCTGTGAATCCACGAGTCTCTCAGGATACATACAGGCATTAGATTTAGACCAACCTAATCAGGGTTAGGTCCATCTAAATGCCCAATCATGCAGGCATTCAGGAGGTGCACTAACTTTGATTGAGAAAGGGTAAACCCAATCTAGGAAAGGGTTAATAGGATCTCCTGTATGTCTGGACATGTTCCCAGGACAGCCTCAGTCTCAGAAAAGCCACCAATTTGCCCCAGTCCAGGGGCTCTGCTATTCATACCCTACCCCTGCCCCACCTGGACAACCCCCCTCCTCAGTCCCTGTCCCCCCCACTGAACCCACTAGCCCTTTTCCCCACCCCAAGTTTCTTATATCATCTCCTAGTAGCAGCAAACAGCTCTACATGCTGCTCCCATTCTATATTTTGGTGGCTTCAGGTAAGACACCTAAACACAGAGCGGGTGGGGCAAGTACCCCAGTACTTCCTGGTACATCCCCCAGTGTGCCACTCCACCCTACCTTCTGTCTGACTCCAGATTAGCATGGCTCACCTACTCTCTGCTCATAAATATTTGGGAGACTTTCACTTTCCTCCAAAATTCCTACAAACAAAAATGACCATGTATAAAGGGTCATGGAAAGTAAATCAGATTCAAATAGCAGAACTATTACGTGGTCCTTCATACGTAAGTTCACTAAACATTGGCCCATATGTCTGTAGTCCTGAGCTAAGTAAAGGGAGGGAAAAGACACAGAGGAAGAGAAGGATTTTTTCATTCATCCCTGAGGAAAGCAGTGGCTCATGTCACCTGAAGGCCATGAGAGATTCATGTCAGTCAACCCTCATCCTCTGGTATCCTTGGGTCAAGTAGTGCTTTCAACATGCAACTGTCACAGAATTTCAGGGTCACTCAGTGAATCAGCAAGATGGTTTCTATGACCTAAGGGCAGGCTTATGGGAGTAAAAGTTAAATACAGGGATTTACTCCTGTTAAATAAGAAGAAGGAAGAAAGAAAACATCAGTTTCCCAGAAATGGCTATTGAACAGAACGGTTGGAGATGTTTCAGAATGGTTGGAGATCTGGGGATGCCACGGAGGGTATTGAATAGGGGCAGATCACTCTGGAGCTACCTAGTTTAGTGCCCTCTCTGTATAGGGCACTAAACTATCCACTTCTGCCACTATCGGAGGCTGGATGCTAGGCTAGATGGACCATTGGTCTGACCCAATATGGCATGCTTTTGGTCTTAGGTTCTTATAAAAAATAGTCTGTCTCGCAGTAGAGACTAAGCCACTGTCCAATAGTCCCTGTGGTTTCCAGCTACCTATGCATCCTGTTCCCTCTTCTCCCACTCATCTCTAGTGTCTGACTAGATGTAGAATGGCTGGCCTCTACAAACTATTTCATTGTCCTGTGGCTATATATGACATTAAACTATTTTTAAGACCCTTGTAAAAGGGTATCACATTGTCTTTCCAATGGGCCACATCTTAACATGTTCATATGAAGATTTTTTTTTTTAAATAAACAATGTATTTCTCCTGCACAACAACCCAGCATTTTGGGCTCAGTAGGATTGATATCATCTCACCGACTTTTTGCTTTCATATCTATTTGCAAACGCCACGTAATTCTTTACTGGGGGTTTTTTGTTTTGTTTTGTTTTGTTTTTTATTTCCAAAGCACAAATCCTTCAGGGTATCTATTCCTCTCAAAATACAAATTATTCTATTCCCCAGTAATTATCTATTTTGCATACAGTTACACAGCTGAATCAGAAGTAGCAAGATCTGAATAAATATATAAATAATGGACACACTGAGGTGTAGTTTCTCATGTTTAACATAACACAGGGGAATACATTTTTATAGCAAGCCAGTAAATGTTGTAAACTGATGTTTTCAATTGCACTGACTTAGAATTAACTTCTAACTGTGAGATCTAAACTAGTTGCAGCTTTTTATAATCTCATGTTTTAAAGCTGTAATGCTTTTTTTGTCAGCTGCTATAGAAGAAATCATATTTTACTGGGAGATAGTAAAGGTAAAGCACAGAAAAGGTAAAATGGAAGCTGCTTAAATATTTTGTTTAATTTGATTTCACTCAGTGATATAAAGTACAGAGAGCCCTGACACGCAAGAGGAACAGAGAAGTGCTGTTTGTTAAAGAAGAGCATATGTTGTTGCCCAAACTTATGGTGTGCACTCAAAGAAAAGGGGAGAAATGGGAAAATATATGAAAACATAAGAAATGAAAGGCTGTCCTTTCCTTGTAAATAGTATTTACTTAGCTTAGACAAAGCAAAGCTGAATTATTATTTTGCAAATAGCAGGGACATTTCACGCACAGTCACCAACTCTTCCCACTACAAACCATGGCTCATATGGTTCATTCTCAGATAAAGCAGATGATAAAGTGAGAAAAGCCACCATCCTGAAGTCAGTTTTTGTCCAATAATCAGAGATAGTGAAAAAGTCACTGCATACAATGAAAAACCTGAAGATTATGACTGGATAAACCTACTGATCTGGTGCATCTTCATCAGTTATTAGTTATTATTTTAATACATTGTGGTTCCAGAAAGAGGGACTTACTGTACTTGGTACCATAAAAATGTAACTGCTAACCCCATATGGATTGAAAGCAAAAGGTAATTGGAGAAAACAAGCATAGCGAGGGAGAAATGACTTCCAGAGGTCAACAGCAGGTGAAAGTGGCAATGCTAGGAATAGAAACTAAGGGCATTTGTACACAACACAGGGGTTTAATTCTCCATAAATTGAAGCAGTGGCTTCTTAAAAACACCGCTTCAGTTTAGGGTGAAGTAAACCCCTGTGCCATGTACACCCATCTCCGCCTGATCTTTACCTGCCTCTCCCGTGGCAGGGAGGGGAGAGCGAGCTGCTGGTGGTCAGAGTGGTCCCTGAGCTGCAGGGGGGTGGCAGGAGGGGGCTGGTGCTTCCCTCCATAGCAGCTCCAGGGGGGACCCTGCCTGCCTACCTGAGCTATGCAGGGGCCTGGGCAGGCTTGCCACATCAGGCTTGCCACTTTTTTTTTCCCTTCTATGGAGCCTGTCTTCCCAGGCTGCTGCCGGGCTGCCTGCACAGCCCCTGAGCCACACAGAGCCCAGTGCGGCTGTAAGGTAGGAAACTAAAACTCCTCAGAGGTGTTTTACTTTGCAGCGCCCCAAATCCATTTGCTGCTTCCCAAAGTCATTTAAGGTGCATTATGCCGCCAAATGTGCTACAGCAGCTGGAATTAATGCCAAATGTACAAACAGCAGTATCATTAAAGCAGTGCAAACGGCATTTAACCTGTTTTAAACCCACTTTAAAGTGTCATCTACAAATGCCCTAAGTCTCCTGGTAACTAGTCCTGTGCCCCATCCACTCCCCTGAACTGCTTCTCAATAAAGAGCTTGGCTTACCATGGCTGTTTCCAAGAGTATCTCTACACATGCAGGTACAGGCACAATGGGACCTAACATGATCCGTACAATCACACCTCCTGCTACTCCACACATGCATGGCAAGAGAAGTGATTGTAGGATTGTGCTTTAGATCCCATCGTGCCTTATTGCTGGTGCAGGGGGAGCCTGATATCAGCAATGGCTCCCCCTGCACTGGCAAGAAACAAGCTCCTGAGGCTGGAGCCCCATCAGGTGAGGAGGCTGCTGGGACCTAGCTGGGTCTCAGCACCAGGCAGTGCCCTGCTGGGATCCAGCATCCGCAGCTGCAGGACTTTGGTTCCCTTCAGTTGCAGGACTCCCAGCCCTGGCTGGACGTGGTGCACCCCTGCAGCTGGGAGCCCAGTCAACTGACAGGGTTCCCAGCTGCAGGGAAGACCCTGCTGCATGTGCAAACCAAAGCTGGATACCAACCAGATATAACATTAGCCTGAATGGTGCGTGTCACCGCCTGGTGGCTGGGGTGGGGGCATGGCTGCACTGGCAGTGACAGGAGTGCGGCGGCAGGAACCCAGTGGCAGTAGGCTGGGAGGTCCCACAGACACCGCCAGCCCTGTCGGCAGCGGGAGGGGAGTGGCAAGCACTGACCAGGCGCTGGTGACCACACACAGGTGCTGCCGGTAGCAGCGCTGGTGGCCAGCGGCGATCGTGGACTGCCCGCAGATGCCACTGGCAGTGTTGGAAGCACCTTTTTGCAGGGGGTGCAGTGCCATGCTCAGGGGATGCACACACACCTGCATGCACTCCCTACGCATCGCCCCTGAACATTACTACACAGTTTTGAGGTCTAACTTAATATGTAGTGTCATAGGCACAGACCACTAAGGCAGATTTAAACATTACATTCCTATTCCAGGCAGAACCAAAACGCAAAGATTTGAATAGTCCTAAACTTGGAGTATTAACATACTGAAGTTTTCTGAAGCTTATGGTGCTTGGAGCTGACTCCTGAAGGAGTTAGAGCTGTGAACTCAGAGCTGAACCTGGACCTTGGGGCTGGATCCAGGGTTTTGGTCTGGGCCCCATCTCTAGTAAAACAGGATAAAAAAAGAGATGAAAAGATAACTGTAGAAATTAAAAGCCACTGCTGCATTCTTTTAAAATTACAAATTAAGCTACATGCGGTTCCAAAGTATGCTGTTTTTATTAAAAATGACTTAATAATCTAATCTTCCTTTCCTTTCTTTTGTTTTGGAATTTATCCTATATCCTGGTAATCACACATAGAAATTACACAATACTGAACTGGATGCTCCTGACAATATAAACACAATTGTTTATCCAGAAGCATTATAAGTTCATGCAAAAATACAGCATTTAAAGCTTGTGGTCAGATCAAGAAACCACAAGTATAATTGTTTGTTTATCTAGCCAAGCATTACTCTTTAGTGTAAGTTTATGGGGATTTTTTTCATATTTATTTATTTATTTCTAAGCCATTTTAAATTAAAGTTATAGAGTGAAAAATAAATGATTAAAGACAACCAACTTATGTCTATGCATGTGGAAGGATGGTTTAATATGTAAATTTTTCTTTTGTCATAGCTTATGTTTCTCATTTTTATGCTTCCATAGGAGCTCCATGATAACAGAGCCCTTTGGTGGAATTTCTACATATTTTCTCTTTAGTTCAGGGCAGCTGGTTTCTTTCCTCTCCGAAGAGAAAGCTGAAATATATTTATCACTCCAACAGTGACTCAAAACAAACAGGAAGTCTTCATCAGCAGACTCCTGGGCAAGGCAGATACTAAGGTACTGGCAGAAAGGAAACAGAGGCCTTCGTCTGTGGGAGTCAGACATGCAGTGTATATTACAGTTACAGCAGATAACTAGATTAGAGATCCACCAAATTATTTTTAAAGTCTTTTACAAAAAAAGAAAGGAGATTCCAAGATATTTGCAGGGCTTGCTGACAGTGTAGGTTCTTGGGACATTTCCCACTGAATTTCCATTTGCTGGAGGAGTATGAATTAAAACACCGAGTATCTGATACTTTTGATGAACCTATGTCCAAAAGGAAACCTGTTAGTGAGCTATTCTGAGAGTTTTCACTTTGATCCGGTTGCTTAGGAAAACCACTCCTTTTGCCTGAATGATTCCTTCACTTCCGGTAGGGCTCATTTTCTTACAACTTTAAAGGAGGGAGGAAAAAAACAGAAAGTATTAACTATTAACATGAACATTAACATTCAAAGATGAGTTTTAAAACTGTTTGTTTTTCCACAGCCATAAGTGCAGTGGGCATCAATCCTTACTGAAGTTTTATCTCCAAATGCAACTGCAGCGTGTCGGAGGAGTGGAAGCCCAGTGCAGCTGAAACTCGCATAAGTAAATGGACCATCAGTGACTTTACAAATCCTCATCTTCTGCAGAACACAATGTCTCCCCTGACTGCCTTTGTACTGATTAGGGCTGATTGCCACATTAATGATTCTTTGCTTGCTGATAATAATAGTTTTCCAGATTCAAAATATCCATTTAAAATACTTCACACCATCTTAAAAAGAAAAAAGAAAACTCCTTTATATAGGTAAAATCTCTGCAAACAAAATAAAACAAAAGATCCATATGGAGAGCAAGCCAGATACTACTGAAAACTAGCCAGCAAGAGTGCTTAGAGGCCTCTAAACTATTTTTAGTTAAATACTATCCTTTCCATTTAAAAAAAATTGTGCTATGAAGCCCTTTTATTCCAACAAAGCACTTAAATACGTTTACTTTGAAGCATGTGAGTAGTCCCATTGCTTTTAATAGAACCATTCATGTATTTAAAAGTACGTGCTTAACCAGCGTGTTAGAGCAGAGCCTAAGAAACTTTATTTCAGGATTGTGGTAGGCTGATAGCAATGACATCTATGGTGTCATCCAACCCAGTGCAAGATAGCTGTAAAAAGATTTTTCTAACTGTTCTGAAAAGGTAAAAGGGGCAGGGGAGGTAAAATCAGTTTAAAAGAAAATTAAGAATTGATTAAAGTTAAACTTCTTACACTACAAAATTTATTTGGAGCTGAAGCTCCTGGGCTGGAGTGAGGTGACATTACTAAGGAGATACTCATGTTGTGCCACAGAGTATTCTTGCTGTACCTGTCAGAGGCTGCTTGCAGACATTAAAACAAAAAGTGCTTTATTGGAAGAAGCAGCGTGTTAGTTCGACCCAGCACCACAGAAACTCTATAGATGGGGCGTTTCAGCAGGGCTTTTTGGTACTTTTATCTAGTAGCACCCGATCTATACTGACGTTGGACGACCCGGCTACAATAACACATTGCATCTTCTGGGTATGCGCTGGGCTCGGTGCAGAAATATGCCAAGTTTAAAGTAAATCACCAGGGTATTTTTGAGGGGGTTTTTAAGTCTGCAATCAGCCTAGAGAAGACAAATACCTTCCAATTTTGCTCTTGGGCAAGCCCAATTACCTGACAACAAGTACACTGCCTGGAAAAAGCATTGAAAGGACTTAGGGAAATAAATAATTGCCTCAAACGACATGCTCTTCTAACTTCAGAGTGGTCTACCACAGGTCTGTAGCAGAATGAGTGATCAAAGTGATCCACGATTATTAAACCAGTCTATGTCTGCTGAACTTCTTTTCTGTTACAGGTATAGACTGGTTTCCAATCACTTATACCAATAAAAGTCTATACCTGGCCATTACTGTAAAAGTAATGTCTGTACCTGGTCTATGGGTCTGCTTCCCCTAACTGGCCCAATAATGGCTTTTTAAAAAGAACCCAATTGGTGAAATACTCACTAAGAAGGGAAGTTCAACTGGTTCTCCAGGCATGCACCTGGAGTCACTCCCTCATCCCCCAGTTTCTTTTAAATTGAAATTCCTGTCTCCCTTTTACACTCACAGTGCAAGAGTCTCTCTCGTCCCTTGAACACACACTATAAGTTGCATCCGGGTCATGCTCCCTGAAGTATGCCTGGCATATCAAGGTTTACAGCATCCTGGATGTTAGTTATTTTATTCTTTTCTGATAGATGCCCCTTCTCCCAGACACTTCCACTTACAGACTTCTGAAGTATGTTCTGGAATAATGGTCTTTCCTGCTTCACTTACAAATGACATCTATGAAACCACTTCTCTCCTCCCTACACAGAACTTATGATGTTGTACTCATCTCCTGCTCTCCCCTAGCTCAATGTGCCTATCCTTCACTGTAGCTTCATAAAGCTTCTAGAAGCTTATTGACATACCTATGGCCCTTTCTCTCATTGTAGACATACGCAGACACTAGAGGCACATACCTTATTCACTGTGTACCAGCATTCACTTTTACCCTGATATAACTCTTCTTGTGCCAAACTTATTAAGCCTTAGTTTAGCAACAATTTTCAATAGGGACTCTAGTCTTAAATATCTTGGGGAGTGAGGGGGGTTGTTTTGTTTTTTGTTTTCTTTTTTCAGAGCTGGGAACATGCACAATGCCGTCATGGCAAAGTATGTAAAAATAGTTGGCTTCAGGCACAAATGAGGCAGGTGAATCCTTTTGCAGATGTGTCCTCTCCTCACTGAAGTCTCACTCCAATGACTCATTGCACTTTATATTGTACCTTTCTTCGAAGGCCCTCGAAGTATTTTTAAAAAGTGTGTAAACATAACTGTCCCCTAAAACAATCAACGTGTTAAGAGGTAAAGTGAGTGGTGGATCCAGGAACAGAGCAATTCTAAAAACCACATCACGCTTCAGGGGCACTGCAAATAAATTTACAAGTGCAAGAGTACATATCTGCTGTGTCTAGCATGGAGCTCTGAAAGCAAGTTAGAGCAGCCCCTAAGACTCCTTTAACATGTTGGCCGGCTAGCAACAGTCTTGAATGTACCATCTGCCAGCCAAGTATAGTTAGAGTGCAACATATTCCAGCCACACCTTCCAGCCTACAAAACACCCCCTTCTTTGCCTGTAACACGCTGAGCAATTAAGGTTGTGAGAAGAAAAATATGGAAACCACGTATGCTGGGTCTCTTTGCCTTCTGGGGAAATCCTGTGCTGGGGGATAGCGCCAGAGCCTCTGCTCCCTGTAAGCTGCCTGAACAGAACCAAAGAAACCAAATGGGACAGAGACTCTACCCCCTGAAGTAAAAGAAAAACTTCTATGATCTCAGTTTTTGTTCTGCAACCAACTGCATACAAAATATCTAATAACACAGGCCTTTTGAAGCTATTCTTCAAATGATATAGGATTATTGGTTCCAGTGCCAGAAATGTTCTGGGTTTGATTGGTTGACTGAAGGTAATATTTTCCCCAGCATTATTATCTGTCATCTTGTTTGATCATTTTATTCCTTCTTGTCAAATATACATTTGTTTCTATTATTCTTTGAACTATTTTATGTAGCGGCCCCATGCTGAACTCGTTACTCCGCAGTATATTGCATAGTGTCCAAAAAAATCTTATTCTGGGAATTTGCCAATGTGTCATGCTGTACTAAAGCGAACCTAAGATGCCATCCTGAATCTATACTACCTGACAACTGGCTGAGAATGAGGAATGCTACGTGGGACAAAAAAGAAAGAAAGAGAGATTGCCTGAGGAAAGAATAAACGCTGGAAATTGCACATTTAATTGTCTTTACCCAAGCCCATTTTAAAAAAAGGAAAGAAAGAAAATGTTCTCAAAGCTAATATCATATATTTATATTAATGTTTCTATTTAAATTCTGGTTTTAATGGAGGGACAAAAAAAAAAATTGGCTATGGTGAGGGGCAAGCATTAGGCCCCCGGAAGATCCACAGTTCAAAGCACTGGGAAAAGTGTTATATGTGTGCCACTGCTTAAGTCTTGCTCGACTTCGTGATGACAAACAAATAAACAAAAAAAACCTGTGTCTCTTTCTCAGCTCAGTGATTACAGCAAACCCACAGTGCCAGCTTCAGACTGGCAAGGCAACTAACATTGCTGCACACAAAACAATATTTTCTTGCTTAAGTTAATTTAATTGGGAGGCTCTCACACATACTCATCTATTTCCTCGCTATCTGCTGGGGGGGTATTTCCCCTTGCACTATAATTCTTTCAAGCTAACATAGTAAAAAAACCAAGAAATAAAAAAGAAGGGACTGAAGCATATTCTATGTGCAAAAGAGTGTAGAATAAAAAAAAGCTCACCAGGTTTAAAAGCATCTGTGAAAGAGAAAAAAAACAATAATGCTGCTGTGAAAGTAATTCTGCCATACCCCATGCCCTTCACCCAGGAGAGGGTTGGTGCCGTTACTGAGTTGCTGTCTCAGGAAAGTGCTTCCAAGAGACACACTATCCCCACCCTCTTTCTCTTCAGAATTCAAGATTTCCTCCAGCAAACAAAAGAAAATATAACCTATTGTTCCAGCAAAGAACAAACAATTCAAGATAAATTTATGTTAAAGAAATACGAACCTCAAACGTGCATTACAATTTAGGCTCTTCTCTGACAGCAATGAAATTCTGGGTTAATCTAATTAACAAGAAGCATAATTTAAGCACATTGAGAATAAACTCTCCTGTTTTAGAGTTGCTATTCAGCTACCTTGATTTCAGCCCCTAGCATTCTTCTTGAACAAATGCATTTCAGACAATGCGAAGGAAATGTCATTTCCTATTTATATTCGAGTTTACTAATAACAGAGTCAATTCCAACAGGTCCACAAGGACTGTCCATCATTACATAGCTATAGACTTTGTGGGATCGTAGGGTCTTAGAAGAAAATTCTCTGTTTTCAATAAGGACCACTTTACCAATTTAACATAGAGTAATGCCTGCGGAATAGTCAAAGGTCCTGTTCCTTAATAATGTTCAGTGTGGCTCGGCTCTTAAGAAACTAGTAATAGATCATCCACTAACATACTGCAACCTCCCATCTGAATGCTTCCCCATGTCTTCTTTAGAATGATTTTAATATTTTGAGGTAGGGAGACTGAGAGACAGATCATGTTTTTATTTATAAACCAAAAAAAATCCTTAGAAGCAATGGAAATACTATATTTTAGACCAGCTTAAAGGAGATCAGAATCTTACTTAGAGTGTTTCCCTTTTTCTGTCAATAAAATGGGCTGGATTCTACCCTCAGTCATGCCAGTGTGAATCTAAAATAACTGCAGTAATGTCAGTGGAGTCACTCTGGTGTTGCCAAAGGTAAAATTTGACCCAATATGTGCAGGGACACCCACAGCAGAGATAAGGCATTATAAGGATGGAATGCAGAAGTATCAGGATTACCAGAGAGTACGTAGCCAACAGACTGCTTACCCTCTCTTTTCTAGGAAACGAAAATAGATCCTTTGCACTTCACCCTGAGGGAGGAAAATAATCATTAGCTTTGCATTATAAAGATACATAAAGTAATTGACCTATTAAGATGTAGACGTGCCTAAACTGAGTAACCATATGATTATACTCCTGTAATTCTTGTCCATCACCCCATAGTCTCCCTACCCTAATGTTACCCTCTCTTACTTGCTCACCTGCAAATTCAGATGGTAAGTTCTTGTGGCTGGGATCATGGTTCTTTGTCTGTAAAGCACTTGCTGTTCTTTTGATGCTGTAAAGATAATTATTTGATTACTTCTGGAGGGTTCTTCCCCTACCCTCCACCCCACAACTATTTTATAGTTTAAACTAAATTTTAAATATCCCAGATATGGATGGACAAAGAGTTCTTATAAAAAGAATGGCCTAAGAAGATTATTTCTTCCCATGGTTATTAAGTATTTGCTATTGTGTTCTCATGCCTCAGAACTTGGTATTGCCAGAAGCATCAATGATTTAGAGGGTTTTTTGGTTTTGTTTTGGGGTTTTTTTGGCTGTTGTTTTTTTGTTTTACCTTAGACATTCTTATAATTTGCAGGAAGATTTCTTGTTTGGGATTTTGTACTTTATGCCTTTCTTTTCTCTCCCTAATATCTAACTGCAGCAGATGGCCTAAAGAACTTATGTACTCTTTTACTAGACACAGACAGCCTATTTAAATTACAATAAAGGTCTTACATTTTACAGTACATATTTATTAAGATTCCTCTGTACCAAGAAAATATTGACATTTTCTATTGTAGCTTTTTCAAGCAAATAGATTAATCCTCCTCCTTAATGAAAGGGGTATGAGCTCTCCCTCTCATAGTGAGACATTTATGTGTTTGTGTACATTTGTATGTATGTACATGTGTGTGTGTGCATGCACATGTGCACACATGTTCACATGCATGTGGCATGCACACCATTATTTTTAAATGATTTGGTCAGCCCCTTTCCGCAACTGCCAGTCATTTGCTGCATTCAGTGCATTACAATTAGGTATTTAACTGTGCTTTTGCCTCTTCTCTCTCAGTCTTTTTCTTAAACATACTTTCTTATCAAAATCTACAGAGCTAGGAAGCCCCTCATTCTTACTTGGAAACTCCAGAAGCCCATAGAGTTCTACTATTTAGGACCTAAGCCTTTGTTCTTTGTCCTATCCTGAGCTTTGTGACTTAGGATTTCTAATGCAGGCTTTTACTCTTTAACACCTGTTTAGAAAAATATTTGCATTTTATTTCAGTTTTTTATTACTAAAAAAAATAATAATTTTTGCTCTGTCTGGGCATGTCTCTAATGAGAAATCTCTTCTGTCATTCTGACGTACATTTTTTTTTCCTTTTTGGAGGGGTCTGTCTGTCCATGGCCACTTGAAAAAAAACCAGATGCCCAAACTCAGCAAAGTGAGTTACTGCATCTTCATATTTATTATTATTTTCCTCTAGCATTCAACATTTAGAAGCTGAACACCTTACGTACATTCATTCATGTCCCACAAACTTCCTAGGGTTGTTTGAAAATATTGTCCCCATAATGCAGAGAAAAGCATGAGGCAGCTTATGTGACTTGCTCAATTTCATACTGGAGTAGCCAAGTTGAAACAAAAGCCAGGTCTTACAGCTCCCGTAAGGAGTGTTTTAAGGCTGCCTGGAATGAAAGGGGCAAACTCAACACTATAGTTATATTAAGGTATCTTAATAGAAACGTCAAAATAAATTCACAATTTAGTGAAGAAAATATACTGAGCTCCTACTACTGCATTCCAAGCTAAAACTGGAACCATCCAACAGCAGGGAAATGGTCCTTGTATACAAAACAGCACAAACCATGGGATTCTTCACCTTGTCTTCCCCATACAGCAAGCCAACCACAGAACTAGAGGTTCCCCTAAGGAAAAGAATGAAAACATTTTATTTGTAGATTTTAGCCAGGTGCCGTAGCAGTCCAGGGTGCCACAGGTGCCAAAGGTGACATAAGTTGCTGTGCAATATTAGCATTGTTAGGTATGCAAACACCTATGCATAACTCATAAGATAAACCCAAAGGGTGTAGGAAAAGCATAGCCCCAGGGCTGGGGCAAACAGGTGGGCTTTCCCAGCCTCAGAGCTGTGCTTTTAATGCATACAAAAATGTGGGTAGATCTGTGTAATGCACCTCCTTAAATTAACTATGTTAGACCAGGCTGGCCATTCTTTGCCCAATCTAAACTCCTCAAATGTATATACCGTTCAAGGATCTGTAATGTCTGCTTATACCCATGAAATCTGGATCAGTAACGTCTGCCAGGATCTGGAATCTGTATCGCTAATGTCTGCCAGGATCCTGCCTATACCAGGACCTGTAACGTCTGCCTATACCCATGAAATCACTGGAGTGCTAAGTACATTCACAGGAAAAGACCCAGCTGAAGAAAGGTGCCCGCAGGTTCCGACTGGACAGGTGTCTACATCAGTAAATGCACTACCATAAGTGTCCCTAATTAACATTCTTGGTATCAGTTCCAACAAAAGGAAGAAGGAGTGCATGGGCACTGAGGAATAAATTACATTCTCACCACTAGAAACAGCCCCACCAAATCATGACTGTGGTACGCTGATGAAGCAAAGTTGGGAATGCTAGCCTGGCCTGCAAACAGAGGGCCTCCCTTTATCTTTCACTAGCACTACATGAATACACACATATACTGACTCTATTATTAAAGAATAAGCCCCCTCCCTTCTTCCAATCTCTGTTAATCTCTTAATATAAACATTTTAATAGCTAATGCAATTTTAATACTAATGCCAAAAACAGATAGAAATTTGTACATTGTCCCAGGACACAGGATGCCCGCTTGACATCACTTAATAAAGACAATGCTCATGCTCTTTCTTTTTTAATCATGTAAAAAACTTGGCTGAACATAAAACAACTTCAAAGACATGTTTCTGTGCCAGCCAGGATGCATCAAAGTTGGGACGCTAACATCCCAATTCACCTGATCCTTCTCGCTGATAGAAAAAGTATGGGGAAGCAGTTTTATCAGTGTACCTTCCTAACACTTCCTTCCTATTCCAGATGCTATTTAAACTTTACCTCCAGCCAGGCCTTCAGGCTTCTGTGATTCTCAAGGAAAAGCAAAGGGAAGCCTTAAAAAGGGAGGCCTGTAAGCTTCTGTGCAGTTACCAGGCAGTCATATCCTTCTGCTTTCCCCTGAAAAATCAAGTATCACCTTATCGTTTCCTCACCAAGATTAACTCCTGCTTCCTGAAGAGTATTTCTGAGGTAGAAAGCAGAGGTGGTGAAAAAAAGGGGGAGCTGAAAAGCCCAATCTGTCAAGCTCCATTTTAGAAGAAAGGAAAACTGAAAAGTGAACGTATTTAACATGAGCTATTTCCTGCACTCAGGAGGGAAGAAAGCATGCTACTAACTGTGTGCATGAGGAGATCTGCACTAGTGTTATCTCTGACCTGCAGCTTAGCCCTTGTGTCTCAGCTGCCAAAAAGCTCCTATTCAACGTTATGCTGAGTTCATCAATGCTCCACGTGTCAGGATCCTAACAGGAAAAAGCAGGACAGACAGTCACTCTATTCAACTGCCTGGGGACCCCATGACAACTAAAATCCCTTTGCAGACTGTCCATATCAACCTACGGCAGGTCAGAACACATAACCCCTCCAGAACCACAAGCTCAGGCCCACACCCTTTCCCCTTGTCAACATTGTCACTTTAAACAGAACATCTAGCCTTATCACAAAACCTGAAGTAAGTATGACAATTAAGATGGATTGCAAAGCCTGCTTGTGCTTTACAATTAACAATAACTTGGCAGCGTGTCCCACGCAACTGTTGGGTGGTATGGCAAGAACTTTATCCCTGCTTAGTACTGCATTAGCATATTTAGTAGGCTGCAAGACATAATTCCTAAGATATGAACATATTTTGTCTTTTCAAAAATCTGCAATTAAGCTATAATGTGCAGACAGTGTACAGCAGGCAGTAAACTTTGCAAACCCAGTGCTATTAGGGGATTGTGCTAAAATGGGCCTTTTGACCTTATGTCAATTATCTTTTAATAAGGAGCCCATGAAATGGGGGGGTGGGAAATTATAGCATAGTCTTTGGTAGGAAACAGTAATGTCTCAGAAGCTATAGCTAGTGTTCAGTCCTGGCTTCACTATGTAAATAATGGAGCATTTAAACAGGTTTAAGTTTTTGTCTCAGAGAAGGACAGGAGTCTATATACATGCTCCAGGGCTGGGGGGAGGGGCATGTTTTAATTAGAACAGCTCTCAGGAGCCACTCTAATTAAAGCACCCACGGCGTGTTCTGAATTAAGCATCCCAAACTTCAAAATGGTGGCAGGGTGCTTTAACCAAAGCTTGTTCTATGAGATTTGGTTAAAGTGCTCATGCCACCATTGTGAAATGCAGGGACACTGAATACACGGAACGGCAAGGCTACCAAAGCGCCCCAATCAGAACCCTCCAGCAGACTCGATTCATCGAGTCTGCTCCAATGCACTCCAATTAGAATGCAGCAGAGCAGGTGTCCTGCATGTGTACAGGCACCTGACCATATTGGTCTTCTGCTATTCATCTAAACTTTTTTGCACAGGGTCCTCAAGATCATTCTCATACAAATAAAGGTTGTAGGCCCCATGGCACCATTTCTTTCTGCAGGTGAAATCTCTTTGTTTTTAATTTTCTATCATTTACAGTTATTTTAACACTCCTGCTAAATGAATTAAAAGCTTCTGAGTAATTTAGACTGGCCTGACTTGATCCATTTCCTACGCGCAGCACAAGAGACGCTCGACCCTCTTTGCTTTGTAAGTATGTTTATAGTATATATTTATCTGCAAAATCTGATCAAGTGAGGGGAGGCAAAGATCTTTTGGTGATAGGCAGGACATTGTCCTCCTTGACATCTGTGTTGCTGGTGGACAGGATATCCTGCTAAATGTAATAAGACAACTGTGTGACCCACCTTGTGAGAGAGGCACCACTAACTGATTAGAGCACAGCAGGAGAGGGTGCTGATTTTTCTAACACCCATCCTCATCCTCTCTGCAGGGGAGGGCAGAGGGAGAAAGACTCTCTTACAAAGGGGAAAAGGGGGGTGGAAATAAAACAGTTTAGGTGAGTGCTCGGAGTCGATAAGAGAAAGCAGATGAGGAGTAGCAAATGCAATTTATCATACAAAGTCTTTCTTCATAAAACCAGCAGAGTAACGGATTAAACCACCTGGCACTCTTGGCAAGAAAAAAAGAAACTCTTAGGCTGTGACAAAACAAAACAGGTGTAACAGGTATAAAACTTTTGCTTTCCAATAATACCCCTCTCTTCCCTGGAATGCTTTGACAGGTGCAGAAGTTCAAATTACAGTGTGGAAGTGGCAAATAAATACACAGCATTAGTGTCTGACGTGCTTGCTGAGCAACCAGGGATGTTAATAACTGGCAAGGTACACTAATCTCTGATTGCAACATTTGGTTTACCTTAATCTGGAGGGACAGCTGTATTAAAGAGGGAATTATACTAATCAGTTCAAGGCCCTTGCATATAAAACTTCCCATTAGGCTTAAAGTACAACAGCTTACGCTCATTCTCTAGGAGCCTTACATCTGGTTCTGAATAAGGCTGTCTCTCATTTGCAAGGTACAAACTGAAAACAAGGCGGGGGGCGGGGGGGGAGGGCTGACAGTTGCTGGAGGATGGTTGATAGAAGAACAAGCTACTAATTCTTTGAAATTTTTTACAGCACAGAACTAGCTGTAAGGCATCTTAATACTAAAAAAAAATTAAAAATAAAAAACAAAAAAACCAAAACCCAGGCATGTGTTATCAACCCTAGGCCATTTTTTCCTGTTACCGGAGGTGACCAACATAAAATAAAATTGATGATGTCAGTCAAAAACAGCTAAGCACAAAGCTTGGCTTTGTTATCTTAAGTCAGAAGGTATGATAGGCCATGCCATATGGCTCTAATCCTCCTATATCTTCCATCACCTAACAGGCAACCTTCATGTAGCATGACCTTATTTGGCTGGTCTCAGGTTAGGGCTGCCCAAAGGGGATTTTTGTGTTTCTGCTATATCCAAAGGTTTATGTTGATTTTTTTTTTTTGAGCCCTGCAAACTATAAATCCGACTGATTACTCTGCACTCTTTTGCTTGACTGAGCCTTTACAATCAGACATCCCCGTTAACAATAAGCTCCTAATGAATCAAACATCTATGGCATTAGTTTCACCTAGCTGCCTCTTTCCCATGCACTGCAGCTCTTTGTCAGACCTGGCTTGATGAGAAAAGCTAGTGACACTTGGTGCACCTATTGATAAACAATTCAGTAATGAGGGGCATAACAAAAATTACCTAAAACAACCTGATTAAAAATGACAGGCCAAGGCTACTACAGAGCTTCACAGTTAAGGTAACTCTTGTACTTTGGGTAAAAAAAAAAAAAGTTAGATGCAGCAAAATCCTCTGTTTAAAATTACAACTTTGAACTGATCGTGGTTTCAATCGATGTTAAAAAGGAAAATGTTCCATACTGAATATGAAATTCACCTCTTTCAGGACCCTTGTAGCTTAGTGAGCTTTTTTCCCCTCTCCTTTTTAAATTCTACATTAATTGAAGAGTCCCTCCTATTTGCGATTCAGCTGCCTACATTAAAACTCAGATTTTTGCTTCCTTTGTTTAAAAGTGGGTTTTGTTGCTTAAAAGCATATGTAAATTGTAAACAAAGGATAAAAAAGCTGAGAAAATGAAAGCAGGCTCCAAAGGCAAAAATAGGGGGGAATGGAAAAGACTGCATCATGCCCCCGAGATGAGCATAGGCATCTGTCAGAGATTAAAAAAAAACAACTATATGTTATAAAGGCATGCACTTCAACTCTCAAGCAAACTTCGAAATAGGAGTGAAGGAGCATAAGACTGCTTGATTCAAAATCAGAAATGTGTGGGTTTTGCATTTGTGTAGCAGCATGTTGGGAGGGTTTCAATCAGTGCACAGATGCACTTGAAAATCAAATATGGACATGGGGAATGTTTTTGGATATAGCGAATGAGGACTGATGACATGTTTACACTTTGCACATGGATCCAGTACAAATCCATACTTTGCAAAGAAACAATATCCACCATTTGCCGCCTTCCAGAGCAGCAACAAAATGGTGGCAAAGGCAGAGAATGCATACATCTCTCATGTGCTGCCTACCTGGCACCCGATACACTGACTCTTCTGCCCAAAATGTCACTCAAGTGTCATTGGTTATATTTTTAATTGTTTGCTCTAGGGGAGGAGGATTCTAAAGAATGTTGTAAGACCCGGTCATTTGATAACAGCCGCTTATTTCTGAAGGGAAAAGAAATTCAGACATCAGAAGTGTATCTTGTTATTGTGTTATTTTTCTTAGAATAAACATGTCAAGCTGGAATGGCTTAGCGAGTATGTGAGCCCAATCTTCAGCCAGTGAAAATTAGCATAGTTGCACAGGCTTCCATAGAACAATGCCAATATACCACAGCTCAGGATCTGGCTCCATACTCCTCACAAGAGGTAATTTATGGCTCATAAGTAACATATGTCACAAATTATGCTGAGATGTTGATGAAAGTTTAGCGAGATGGTAGCAACTTTTTTTTTTTTAACACAATAGCAGTTGCAGACAATCACAAATGGCTAGAATATAATGTATCCCCCTGAAAAGCCACTTGAGTTTACACTATGAAGTAATCTTTTGTGAACACTTTCCAAATTGTGAAACATACTTTGCATTTTAAAGGAGGAGGCAAAAGTTTGCGATTGATGAAAAGAGAGGAAAAGCATCTGTTCCACACTTTTTGCTAATCAGAGATTAAAGGAAAAGTACATGAATTAATATGTTAAGTTTTAGATTCCTGTATGAATAGTTTGTTTAATGAAACTTTTTAAAAACACATGTCTTACAGTTCAAATAGACCTTTAGACACTTGACTTCTACTTCTGATTATTAATAATAATCATCCCATTTTCCTTCACACTTTCCAGATAAATACAGAATATGAAAGCTCATTTCCTCATCAACTTAAACATTACATAAAGAACTGCAAACAGTAGGGTACATAGGAGTTGATCTGGCTCTCACCAAGCCTGGTTTTGTACAAGTGTAACTCCACTGACTTCACTGGGGTTGAATCCAATTTGCATCAGTATAAATGAGGTCAAAATCTAGTTCTGAATCATGAAAGGGCCAGAGACCTGACAATATAAATCTGACTAAAAGCACATAAATCTGCAGGTTCTTTTGACCCTGTAGTTTCTGACACCATACCAAACAGAAATCTGCTGTTGTGCTTTCATGGCTCTAACACCTTATGTTACGGAGCATACCACAAAGGCCTATCCCGAGTTATCTAAATGAAGTAAATCTACCTGACTTTTGCTATTCGATTTTATCTATGTACAACAAGATACTCAAATATGCTTATTAACAAGTTAACTGTTCTGAGGACCTGATTCTCATTGGCACTAAGGTCCTTTGCACCCTTTATACTGCCAGAATAATACAAAAGGGCGTCCACATAAAGGAGCATTAGGTTCCACATGTATTCTGCTCCCAAATATACCTTTGTAATTCAGAGCCATGCCGTGTGTTTGAACAGAATTACTTTTGGTTTACATCAATCCCAGCCGATTCAGCCAATTAAAAAGCTCTGCCTTTACCCCATTTATTTCAATCAGCAAACTCTCTAATCGGTTAATCAATGTATAAAAACAGGTTCCTGGTAAAGACAAATTAATATTTCTTCACAGTTGTGATAAAGGCCATATTTATTTTCAGAGTTCTGCATGCATTACCCAGTCTGTTCTTATTTGGTAGGTGTTGAAAGTAAAATTCTCTCACATGCACAGTCTGCACAAAGTCTGTACAAAATCCACCCTCCCTACTGACAGGCATGATGGGAGACAGCCCTAGAAGCTTCTGCACCGAACCCAGGATTTCAACCCCTGCCTACCAGGTCTGTGACCACTATAGCCACATAACTGTAGAGCCAAAGGCTGTAGACCATAGACTCCTTCCTCTTTGGCAATGTCGCCCTTCATCCTTCCTCTCTTCTGCACCAGTCAAAACATAGCAAGCGTAGACTCCGATTGACCATAGACATAAGAGGAAGGCCATCCATGTAGGTTCCCAGACAAAACAGTAATGTGACAGTTCTACTATACTACAGTGAGTGGCTTTGTGCTAAGCGAATGACAGCTTTGGTGCATAACCCGTCCATACTGTGCAATGTTCTTATGTCAAACAGTAGAAGATTGATATGACAAACCTCAGCACCTTTGGAAATGCCAGGAATCTAGCTTATTGGATGATGAACATATTCCTGTGAAATTTAGTCAAGTACCTTGCAAAACTCCATCATTTCCTAGTTTTTAAAAAAAAGTGTTCAGCAACTGCTTGTATAATGTGTTTTTCTAACACAGCCAAGACAGAGAAAAACTTTTTATTTGTAGCTCACAGATGAATGGAAAGTGTGTTTGCTTCTGCCAGCTAATGACAAATACAATAAAAGATATTAAGGTTCTCAGGTTCTTCAGCTACCATTTTCTTGTTGCTTTCATACTGAATGGATGGGCAGTTTTCTACAAAACAGTTCTGGGCTAAAGCCTCAGCTGGTACAAATCAGTGTAATGCAATGGAGGTGAGCATAGAAAAAATCTCTGGGTGACACTAAACTGCTGGTTTCAAACTGTATTATCCTCTCCAAGCCAAATAGGGTGTTCTGGGGAGTGATCTCATTTATGAGCCACACCTATGGTGTCCTGAGGGTGACAGAAGTTGCAGTGTGATTTTGAAGGCCAAATGCTGTCCTTCAGTAGGTCAAGTTTCCAAAGACTCGGTTATGTAAAGACATCAGTGGGAAGTACATGGGTCTAAAATATGTCAGAAAATACACTAAATTAGAAGACTACCCATAATCACAAACATCTTACTGTACCTACTGCAAAGCTGTTTTATCTATGGATAAACAAATAGATTAAATTAGAATTTGCCTCCAAATGATAAATTCCCTTATCTAAAATTCAGTACAACCAAAGGTCCTACGAGTGTAAATGCATATAGTACCACTGACCCCAGCAGAACAACCTTTGCTTGTGCCAGCAGAGGATTTGGCCCTAGTTCTGCAACACTGGGATGAAATCTTGCAAAAACAGACTGTGCTGAGATGCTTGGTGGTTCTGCTCCTGGAAATCTCATGGGAACAGACTCTCACGGGATATTGTTATTTCTAATCCAAGTTCTTCTGCTGCCGGTCCCAGCCAGAAATGAAAAGGAGGAGGGAGGAAACACTGAAGAGTCAATTCAAGTTTAGTTGTGGAAATGACTGAAGATTTGGAGTGTGGGGAAAGGGATATTATTTTAATTGCGCTTATTTATGCATTCCTACTTCTCCACTTTCCTGCTCTTATCTAGTCAGAGCTGTTGTCTTGCTCTGTGTAAGTCAAGAATGCCCTTCATTTGAAAGACACTAAGGACCAAATTCATTACTGGTGAAGGAATATGAAGTAGGGGAAAGGACTACAGCCTGGGGGCTCACAGAAGGATAGTATGAAACCATGCTTCCTGGATGAAGAATGAGGAAGGAATGACTCTGGTGTCTCCGAGCAAAGAGGCAGAAGGAATATGATACCAGTGAGGCACTGGGGGAGGTATAAAAGCAGAATGTGTGGAATAAATAGAGCTAGAAGAGGAATGGGAAGAAAGAACGTGGAATCTGGTCAGGGGCGTTTCAGGTGCAAAGAACCCGAGTATGTAACGAAGAAGGCATTTCTGTGCCAGCATGGCCCCTTGTGCAGGTTATTGTAACAGGACAGGTTACTGCAATAGGACAGAGTCACTACTGTATAAAAATGTCCAAGCCCTCCACAAAGTGTCCCCCCTACACTGGGGCCTTTTGCAGAAAAGGGCACAGAGCAACTGAAAAAAGGGCCTTCTGCATTAAGGCAGTCCTTAAGAAAGCATCCTCAGCTGTTTTGCTGCCCCTTTGGTGTCACGAACACCCATGCAAAGGAGTCCTAGGTAACAGTGAATGGAGAGAATGGGAGAGGAAAAGACAAAGTGCCTTAATTTTTCCATTTCAAAAGCCTCTCTGTTCCACTATACACTGCTCCCATATCAGCGTAGGAAGTAAAGGATAGCTCACTAGTAAACGTGACAGACTAGAGTCTGGGGGTACCTGCAGACGTGCCAGAAGGCTACTTCGATGTGATGTAATTACAGCACATCAGAGCAGACTCAATAAATCGGGTCTGCTGGAGCATGCCAATTAGCTTATTTGACAGGCTTTAGTTAGTGTCCCTGCCACCATTTTGAAGCACAGGAACACTGATACACGAGACATTGTGGTGCTTTAATTAGAGCAGCTCTCAGAGCCTCACTAATTAAAGTGTGTCCCCCCCACGAGCATGTGTAAAAACATCCAGGAAGATTCCACTTCAAGCCCCTGACCTGCCACTGACATTCTGTGAAACCACAAGCGACTCACTTAGCCTCCCCTTTCAACCTTCGCCATTATAACAAAACATGGGATGTTCTTTCATTCCAGCTACCAGCACCGCAATTCCCTCGTGCTGATTTCCAGTTTGTTCAAGATGCAGCTTTCCTCCTAGTCTGCTTAAGTGCCTGGGGTGAGTCACTTCACTGCCATGTGCCTCAGTTTCTTCATCTGCAAAATGGGTATAACAATCTCATCTGTAAAGCACTGAGAAATCTATAAAGAAAAAGTGTGGCAGAAGAGCTAAAGACTGTGAATGAATAATAAATTATTGCTACGAATAAAAATTCTTAGGGACATATTTTCATATGTATTTAGGAATCTAGCACTACAGATTGGTGGCTAAAACCCATTTTAGGTGACTTACCTGTGAAGATACTCTTGTAAATCCCCGACTCTAAGGACTAATACATTTGAAAACACAGCCCTACATTGTTTATTAGTAGTAATGGACTATTTCTAAACTCTAATATATAGTGATCATCAATATTTGTATTTTCACAAATTGCTAAATATTATGGGATGTGGGGTATGAATCACCATATCTACCTGTGGTAAAGGCAGCTTGATTTATACTACCTGAGGATCCAGTTCAGTTATATAAACCTACCAGTGATGAGTTGTACATACATTACTGTAAAACGAACATTCATTGTAGTTCCAAACCCCAATGACAATGGCTCAGATTTTTCATATTAGGTGCTTAAAGTTCAACACCTGAATGATCCAACTTTCAAAGATGCTGAGTAGTCACAACTTGGGCTTCAATGAAAATCAGTCCATTTAAATGCCTTATAAAGTTAGGTACCTTTCTTTTAAATTCCTTTTCTGGAAACAATATTTTATTCCTAAAACCATCTTGCTAATCAATCAATCAACACACTGTACTAACAAAATGCAACTAGCAGAGGAGCTCTGATACCCCAGGCCTAAATAACTTTTGAAACATCTAGTTCTAATTCAGCAAATAGCCATGTATATTTTCAACATATTAAGTCATAGGGCAAGAGAAAGTTATAGTACAGGTTAAACAAGAAAGTATAAATCCCAGGAAATGACAGTAATGCCTTAACTTATACCAGTCTGAAACTGGAATAGGAAAACTGGTACCACCCCTGGTGTAGAATCAGTTATACCATTATAAAAGGTGCTTATATTGGTATAGATTATTCCCTATACATTTAAAAAAGTACAACAGGTCTGAAGAGACCAGGATTAAGCAAAGAAGAAATCTGTGGACACAGTTGCACTGTCCTTAACTACCCATTTCTAGACTTCTACACGTTTTAGATGCTGCTGAGGTATCCTAGCAAGAGTCAAGGATTTTTTTTTTTTTTTTTTTAGTGTGATACCTTCTTTTAGACCTACTCATAGTTACAATAAAGCTGACAAGCTTTTGAATGCAAGGATTTCTTCAGGTCACAATATTTTGGGGCACTAAATACAATTTTGGAAGTTAGACTCAATTGATACAAACTGTCAGTCCTTACAAATTGTACAGTCTTGGAAATATTAAGTTTGATTATTTACAAAGTAAGTATGTCTGATAGCAAAATCCTAATTAATCTCACCTCCCAGAAGACTCCCTTCGAATTTTTTTAGGAACAGCTCACACTCCCAACATAGAGACTTTCTAAAAGGCACTTCCCATTGATAAAACTTTCATCTTCCCGCTCATCTTCAGCAACAATTTAAATCAGTGGGAGAAGTATACTGAGAAACTCTGCTTAGAATCTCAAATAATTTCTGCCTTTCCATTCATTCATTACTTCTCTAGCAGGAGAATGTGCAGTTACAAGAATTTTATACAATTAGTGCTCTGAGAGTGCTTTAAATGCAAACCTGTAAGAGGAAAGTAAAAACAAATCAAAGTTAATTGTGACTGGCTGGGACAAAATGCTTTGATCAATATGACGACGGCTCATCTGCTCGTCATAACAAAATGCTTAAATCAATATGACGACGGCTCATCTGCTCGTCATTTAGCCATTACCTGGGAGACGAACACCTCCTGCTGTGCCTGATTTTTTGATACAGATTTACGACTACCTCAATCCTACAGGAACAAGCTAAGCCAAAGACATCCCAGACTCCCTGTGCCATTATACTGTTTGTCCTTAATTTCATCTTCTCTTATTTATTCCTGTTTGTTTTTATGTATCTCTTCCTTTGTTAGAAAGACAAGTTACACATGAGAATTTGGGCATGCGGAAAGTTTAGAACACAGGAAGAAAAGAAATGAAGTCAATATTTTCAGCTTGCAGATACAGTATTTTTTTTTGTCCACAAAATTGAACAGTGCTCTTAAAGAAGAAAACCCATGCAGAGGGAGAGAGAGAGGGAGAGAGAAAATGAATTTCTAAACGAAAATTAAGGTTTCAAATAGTTCTAGTTAAATTAGAATGAATTTCAAAAGACTTCTTTAAAGCACAGAATCCACTTTAAAACATGTGGCAAGTACAAATTTGGAAATAGAAGTTTCATTGTTTGGTGCTTAGCATACTGAATGCCTAAGGATGTAGGGCATACAACTAAGGAAAGGGCAGTCTGATGACCTGTGGACATACATGGCCTGATTATTATCTTACCCACAATGGCAGATATCAGGAATATATTCAAGTCAATAGAGCTTCACCAGGGTCAAAAGGATCAAAATAAGTCCTATTCCTTATTTGCTCAGTATTTGTTGAAACCAACTGAATTTCCCCAAATCATAGCCTCTGGGTTCTTTCGGTAATGCCTGTAGCTCTTAAATGATAAAGGCTAGCGAGTCAAAATTATGACACCTAAATTTTGAACCAAACCTAAGGTTCAACCAACATCCTTTGTATTACTGTATCTTGTTTTGGGGAGATCCATCATAAAACCAGAATCAACGCCATCTCCTGAAACAAAAGTTATTATATTATTATACATTCCTGAAATAAATACCTGTATTTGCATATACAGATATTTGAGGGTATGTAAATCCCCTAATACTTCTTCCCTAAATTGCTAAGGATGCAACATTTGCTGTAATACTGACAAACCAGAGACACTTCTGTTTAACAAGTCCATATAACACGACTCTAGATTTATCAGACCAATCGCATTTGAGAAAAAAAATTATCACTAACAAGTTTATTTAATAATCAACTTATTCTCTTTAACTGGAAAGTTGTCTCAGCCTAATATATATGTACACAATATTTATTGCAGTCAGGTAATAGTTAGAGAACAGCAAATTCTGGATTAAAACAGCTACTGTCACCTCCCTCTTACTTTTCCTCCCCCACTAGGTTAAATGTGCAAAATGTTAACAATCTACTGGGAGCGTGCATAAAAGGGAGTGTAAATAAGTATGGAAAACCTATGAGAAAACTGTTATGGAAAATGCTTGAATGGCAAAGTGCAAAGGGTGACAAGAAGAAAATTGTGATGGCATACAAAAGGCAAGAGAATAAGAAAGATCTGATACAATAGATAGTCAGTGTTAGCCTATCAACTTGCTGTTAGCTTGCGTTCTACCTACCACCCCCTCAATACATTCATTTTTTGTTATGATAAAGGACATTCATGATCAGTAACAATGTTATAATGATAGTAAATGTAGGATTTAAGGTATATAAAACCTTTAACCAACATTAAAAAGCCACCAAGGGGGAGTTACCTTGCACAAGGTTCTATTTAGTGATGGTTCCACTCTTTCACTCACTGACTGCAAATCAGCATTTTTAGTGGACAATAGGCTCAGCAGTGGCCTTATGATTGCCTCTTTTCAAATGGAAATGGCTATCCTAACTCCTCTGCCAGGTTTTTCTTACCAGAGCACAAATTGCAGTTTACAAGGCTCTGAGGAAAAAAAAAATCTTAGCTGAATATCTTTTTTTTATTCGACAAACTGACATGTAAATTACCCTTTAAGTGCTCCACTCTAGGGCTCTGATCATCTCCTAATTGTCACAGTCAATTGTAGCCAACAGTCTCTTCAATCCCAAGCGCTTTGACAACAAGCATAAGGATCAAAGCAGAATCAGCTCCCTTCAATATCCTTCTGTTTAGGATGCTACAAAAAGCCTGAAAAAGAAAGGTGTAAGGGCATTACTGTAGAAGAAACTGAGAGTAGAAAGTACTATAATAGTCATTTTCTCCTTCTCTAATATTGTATATCCTCACATGCACTCTTATCTCATATTCAGCATGAATACATAAACATCCATGGGAACAAATATGACCTGAAAGTTGTTTTATTACATATTGCTATTTCAGAATTAACACGCTATGAATTTTGAGTATGTCCCTCCTTTTCCACTACAATTTTGCCCTCAATTTTAAAGGAATAAGCAGTAAGTAGTTGCGATTATTATTATTATAGCAGCCTCCATTGGTTTTTCACAAAACAATAGCAAATATCTCTCTGAAGATAAGGTTCTTAGGCTAAGTCTTTTCCCTTCAAAACCGCTGTAAATCAGTAGTTCAGCTAACATCACCGCTCAGATCAAGTCACCTTGATGTGCAATGGGTGTAAGTTAGATAAATATCAGGCCATTTGTGCTGTATTTTGAATACAGCACTCAAATGTGGCTATGTATCATTACATGATCACACTACACTCATACATCCAAGAGAAATTTTCCATTGATTCAGTGTGCTTTGGATAAGATGTTTAAGAGTCATTTAAACAAAATCTGAGGTACATGCACATGTTACATTTAGATCAGCCTAACTGGGGTTAGATTGATCTAAGTGGCAATCTGTGTAGACATTTGGGAAGGTTAAAATCAGGCAAAAAACAGCCAGCCTGATCTAAATTAGTACACCTGAGGAGGTGAGGTGCACTAAGTTAGATCAGGAATGGGTTAGCCTGATCTAACATGTTCTAAGTGCAGCCTGGGGCTAGCAAAGCCCAGCAGTTCACCCTAGCCTTAGGGCTATGCTCTTCCTATCCCCCTCCTTCCCCTCACCCTGACTGGAGATACCCACATGAATATCCATTAATGCAGTATCATCATGGAGCACCCAAAGCAGCTATTTTCCTGGATCTTCTGTCTCCTGCAAGATTTTCCATGAAAGGTATAATGTTGCCCTTGTTTATCCAATAATCCCACAATCAACTTAACATGGCAATTGTTACAGCACTGACAAAAAGAAGGGAATTTAGAGATTAGGATTCATGTGCTATTTAAAAAAAGACTTTGGGGAGTTACTTTGCTGTGATTTTCATCTGAAATGCTTAAAGGACACTGGATCTGTTGTGTACTCTTTATCTGTCAGTTTGTGTAACAACATTCATTTCCATGACTATATTTTTTGAGCTAAACTTTTCTCCTTTTTAATCCTATAAAATGCCTTTCAACTCACAGAAATTTCATGGAGAAAAAATGGAGGTAGAATTTAATTTAATTAACCCACTACTGGTAACTGTTAAATTTGGAACTAATGTAAATTAATTTGTGGATTTAAAAGGAAAAAAGAAAACATTTTGATCAAAATATGACGAAAAAAAAATCTTTCCTATATAAATATACCGGTGGTTTAGGAAACTTACTCCCTGTAAGTTTTCACATTTGTTTAAAATATTCCATTCAAATTATATTTTAAACATATATTGAAAAGAAATGAGAAATTTAACTGAAAACTTAATTTTGTCAACTCTTTCCTGTTGAAAACTTCAAAATAAACTCTATTCCTGTGAACATTTTTTTCATTTGGATGAAACCACATTTTCCAGTGGAAAATGGCACTGCAAAGTTTTGTTTCAGCCACTTCACATCCATAATGTGAATAGCCCTCACTTTAGCTCAGGGATTCTCAACTTTTTCGACTTAAGGACCCCCAGGATAGATTCTTGTTACCCCTTGGAAAATGCCAGCCCTTTTCACTCTCTCTCTTTTTTCTTTTTCTTTTTTTTTTGACTACAGAAAAATAATAGAGCAGTTTGTTTCTCTTGCAAAGAGCTCAGAAGGACCACAACTACGGATTTCTATTTGAAATCTATGGGCCTATCCAGACGAACACACATGCACAGTACGTGATGCCACAGACCCGTCTATGGCACCACACATCACACATGCAGGTGTTCCCTGTGCTGCTAATTAGCAGTGCTGGGGTACGGTGTTTTTTTACACCGGGAGATTCCAGTGTCAAAAAAAAAAAAAAACACACTAGAGAAAGCAGGGCCACACATGTGGCCACAGCACATGCTGCCCAAAACCAGAGCCTGGCTGGCCAGAGCCACACTCCAGCTGCTGGCCAGGCTCCCTGGTGCCGAGTTGCCACCACCAGAGCACTGGGAGGACACCAGGTAAGGCTGCTGGGGCCAGCCAAGGTGCTGGCTCCAGCCTCCCCTGCTCTGTCCCGGGCAACTTGCCAGGCACCAGAACATGCATGCACCGGCATTCCCTGGGGAAATGCATGTGCACACTCATCTGGACGTGTCCTATGGGTTTATCCTGTGAATCATGTTTGCAGACCTAATAGTGCATTATTTTGTTGCATCCATGAAAGGATTTCAGGGTACCCCAGGATGCCAAGGCACCCTTACTGAGAGTCACTGCTTTAGCCACACCACACCACACCAAATAGGAATTCCTATTTAAATTAACAGCAGAGGTTCTAATAAATTTCAGATATGACCAGTTAGTTTTTTATTGCTTACCCCTATGCTTTCTATCATTAACTCATTCCCTCCTACACCCCCACCCCCCACCACCACCACCACCACACACACACACACGGAGTAAATTCTGTGGGTCTATTTTACTCACTGACACTCATTTAATATATAAAGATATTTTCACCACCCCACTTAACCACAAGTGTTCTGCCTGCCAAGAAAAAATGCAAGGTCACCAGGAAAGTGATTACTACTTGTTCTAACTATACTTATTTAAACAACAGAAATGGTTCCAAATAGCAGGGCAAACAGCTAGCACAGACTGCACTGGAATCTTATGTTATTTGAAAATGCATCCAATTACTTACCGTGTAGTACTGTCAGTTCCCAGCTTTGGTCTGCTGACCAGCTGCTAGTGGTCTTGCAACTTTTCTTTGTTTCTAGTTGCTAAATCACAATAAAGGAAAGGAAAAATATTTAACCACTTTTCTATTACACCTCATCCGTGTTTGTCATTGCTATACATCAGCAGAGCTGGCAATTTTGTCACCTATGAAATTAGAGCTGGTTCACATGACCATGAATGTGAAGAGATGTGGTTCATGAGACCATTCTCCACCAAAATATGGCCCACACTATGAAAAGCTGGGAGAACTCATTTCCTAGCAAACAGGGCATTCTGTAAACATTTCTCAACAAAACTACTGCATGGAATCATAAAACAAACCAGAAGACACCATGCAGGTCATCTGTTGGGTGGGTATATTTCATGCGACATCAAGGACAAGATCGTTTCTTGCCCTACATGACAGAAGGGGAAGGGGAAGGGGCAGGATGAAAAGAAAGCAGCCACTCCATCTGTGCAGAAGGGTCTGGGTAGTAGAGAAGTTGGAGACCTGGTTCTACCTCCCCATCTAATACACTAGACCATACAGCTGATCTGAACAGAAATGGAAACAAGCTGTTAATATTACATAGCAGTGGCAGTGTTTCCTACCTGAAACTGTGGCACCAAGAAAGGAATGATAAGTACTGAATTGTTCCTGGGGCAGTACTGTATGCTGCCGTTTACTGTAGGCTGAAAGCAAACTCCCCATCTAGTCATAAAGGGGTAGAATAATAGCATTCATTGTGACTCTGACATTTCTGTTGGAGAGGTTTGCTTCTCAGTAAGCAGTTATGTTTCCCTATTTAGTTCTAAACTACAATCATGGATTTTTACAGTCTTTATTTTATGCTTCTGAAAAAATGAAAGGATGAAAGGTTACATTTGGGTAGTGTAGGAGTGACAGCCAAAGTGCATATGACGATGTGATGTGAAAGTCTTTGGCTATACAACCACTTTGGGAGAAAATAAGGTTATGGCTCCAAAAATACCATGATCAACCAACATGTTTTGAGCATTAATCAAAGCTGAATTCTATCCTCATGGCACTGTAACACTGCTTGGAATTTATGCAACACTTTATCTTCAAGGTGCTTTGCAAACATTAAAGCTTTTATGATCCCCAGCGCAGTGCTGGTTCTGAAGCAGTGCATGAGGTAAGATATATCTGCAGAGACCAACAGCTTATGGGACGTCTCAAAAAAATGCTTGGGAAACACTGCAAAAGGCATTGTTAAAACTTTCTGGAAATAATGTAGTATGTATCCTTCACAGTGGCCTTCTCCAAGTGAATGATGTCCAATGCATAGAATATCTTCTGTATAAATGCAGACCATAAAGGCCATTGCACACTGACAACAATGATTGCAGAATCCTCCTACAGTCAGAGCCAAATGATGCCTTCTATTGTGGGAAAGGACTTTTCCTAGCTTACCAAATTGCTGGTGCTACATGTATAATTAAATCCTTCCAAGCCTGAGGAAACAAATATCCCCATAGGGGAAACTGAGGCAGAGTTGAAAACCCACTGAAGTCAATGAAACTGATGAAACCGATTAAACCCATTGAAGTCAATGGAAAGATTCGCAAATCAGTGAGGTGATCAAGGCCACAAAAGAGATCAGCAGAGTTGAAATTAGAATTCAGCAATTCTTGAGTCTGCTGTGCTGGGGTTCCGTGTCCCAGGGAATCCCTATAGTCCGACCACACCTTTCCCTGCATTGAAATAATTTCTCCTTCCTAGAAACAAGGCCAAATTCTGCCCTCAGCTTTATTAGAAGTCGTTGCTAGAAACTAACTGCACATGCATGCATATATCTGAGGGCACATAAAGTACTACAGATTTTACAAATGATAATCATTTATGGCCACAGAAATAAGCTTTTCTATTGTAGTGAAAGATGCTTTAACAACACTCAGAGCTCAGCAGAACACTTTGGTGTGAACACAAGTCAAACAAAAGGGCACTCAGTATTCTTCAGTTAAGAGAAGAGTTTGCCAAATCGGAATGGGTCTCTGGTACAGGGTTTAATGGATATGACAATTGATATAGGAAATGAAAGAGATTTAAAAAAAAAAATCAGAAGAATGTATAGCCACTATTAAATTGTGCTTTTTAGTTGGAGTAAAGCAAGCAGCACGATGAAATGACACTGAATGCCCATTTCTCACAGCCTGTCTTGTCTACAGTTACTTTAGGCTTGTATACAGCCAGTTTAGAAACATGCATAATTGCTTATGGTCAACATCACATCACTGCCAGATCACACATTAAACAGATAACCACTATTATTATAAGAGCAACTTCCTTGACCTCATATTTTGGTCTGGCTCAGGATTCCTGTACTTTACCAGTTTGGTTTGTTGTAGTGTGCCAACCTGGTGTCTGTACATGTCATTTTCTACTACTGTAAGTGACCAGTGCAATAGAAGGCTTACTATAAAATGCACATTTGAGCACATGAATAGAATAGATTGAAGAAATATGATCATAGTTGCTCCTGCAATGTTTTTTTAAACACAGACTCTATGCTTTTTATTATAGTTAAGGTACAGTATGTGTTATTTGGCAGTATAATCTGACTTGAAAATGTAAAAGGTTTGGGCAACCACACATTTGGAAGTAGAGATCTTTCCTTAAAACATGGCTTTGGTTTTTAAACATAGCAAAATTTCTGGAAACTTCAGTTTCTTGAAGTCTGCCAAAACTTCAATCATATTTAACATATTCTTGGGGCTTACATATAATGTTTCAAGTAATAAACAACATCTTGTTTAGAGCAGCATGAAAAAGGGAAGCACTCCTTAAGAGTCAAAGTTCTAAACCAGCACTAAAAGTAAAGTGTATTTCTCTTGCAATAAAACGCAAACTAAACTTGTGAAATTTGTTAATAACAAAATTAGAGACTACTTTGCACTTCACAATCATACAACTGAAATTAATTTAGTCCTTTATCATAATTAATTATATTACAAAAAGATGCATTCCCTATCAAGTGCACTGTCATTTTTTATGCAAAAAGGGAGAAGAGACTTTGGGCCTAATTCGGCAAAAGAATGAATTATATACTATACATAATTACACACCTATCACAGTCCCGTTATCTTTCTATATATAGTGTATTTATCATCCACTTAAAGACATATAAAGTAGACTATTAACTAGATTGCATTAAAAACAAGACTTTTTGCCACAGGAAGACTCATCATACAGAAGATCACCATGTAAACGTATGCAAAGTCATCTCTAGTAGCCTGGCATCATTTCAGTACGCTCATCGGAATTCATATTAACAACATTATATTGAGACATACAAACAGCATATCACAGCCAGGATAGAAGCATGGTCCATAATACCTACCAGGGATGTAGTGAAGTTGAATTAATTCACATTTATGAAGCACTGTGAGCTCCTCAGATGATCAGTTTAATTCATTATTGTCCCACACTGACTTTGAATCTCCTTTATTCCAATAATGCATTTGCTTTAGAAAATTATACTTTTTAAACATGTAAAAACACAGATGAAATTTGTTGGAGTCAATTGTGACTTGGCCTATATATGTGTGTATGAAGGAGATAAAAAAAGAAATAAGTTTTTTATCTTCCTTTACTTTACATAGGCTACTTGGCCCTAGGTCCAAGTATAAATAGCATCCATCCCTTTCCTCTATGTGGACAGAAGTATGTTACCCCATCATTCCTGGCTGGCACAACTGAGCATCATTAGTACTTTATTTCTGGTATAAAAAGCCCATGGACCTTGAGAGCCAAAAGAATGATTTGTGACTTCTTGATCCACTGGACCTGTGCCACAGAGAGACAGTCTAGTTCATAAACCATGGACAGCTTTTTTTTCCAAAATGCAGCACAGAGGTCAGATGATAATAGCACCAAGCAAAGCAAAAGAACTAGATACTAATGAAAAAACTCAGTGGCTTCCTTTTATGTTAATTAATGATGGGCCTCTGTGCCACAAAGTTCAGGGTGTTTGGATCCAGGTGTTTGGCTTACGTCACATCTCTAATAATCATTAATCTCATTGAATGGGAGCAGTGGAGGGTGGGGGGAGAAAAATCAATAAAAAGATGAATCAAGAAAATGAATGGCATTCTGAAATACCTGCATGTCTGGTGCTTACTCAGGGGATAAAGAGAAGGAGGAGGTGGTCATGTTAATAAAAAGCAGTCTGAGCAAAATTCCATTACCTGCAGTGGGAGTTTTGCACAATTAAGGGTTGCCAAAGTTGGCACTAAATATCTTGGGTAAGACAAGAGATACTGGCTTGATAGGAGTTAAGAAAAATAAAGGTGATCCAGTGATACTTTGATGTTGCTATAGACTTTCAGAGAAGGTTAGAGAAAGCAGATTAGGACAACAAATTACTGATCAAGGGAAGTCTGATAAAGAAGGCCAGAATTTGATAATGGAAGAATTTAATTACTCAGATATGGATTGGGATAATAACCACATGGAAACTCAGGCAGCTTGTTTCTAGTGGTAATGTTATTAGTTTATTGAACAGCCAATAGTGCTTCCCAATGCCTGGAAACATAACGTATAAATAACTTTAAAGTTGGTGTTGGAGAGGACATGCTACCCCAAATCTTTATAAGGTAAGAGGTGAATCACAGATAGCATTCTAATCAAGAAAAAGAGTAGGAGAGTAATAGAGTAAGGAGATCCAAATCAAAACTGTCATTGGAGAAAAAAAAAGAAATTCTGAATATTCAACTCAAAGAAAATATGCCCAGTAATAATATAAGATTTTTCACGGGACAAAGAAAATTGGTCCCCTAACAAACAATAGTGAGGATCTGACACAAGTGTACTAGGGAGGAATGGATGTGTTTAAGGATTATCCTGATCCTGGAGCTCTGATCATGGTTTCATAGTTGTGGTGCGGTTATTGTGGTCCATTGACTACAATGCATATTACTTACACAAAAGGAATAAAAGATCAGGACAAGGTATAGACCTTACACTTTTACCAATATAAGGGATCAGAAACTGGTCTATACCCATAACAGAACAGAAGTTCAGTACACAAAACCGGTCTAT